TATATTATAATGTTTTTGTCAAGCAAAAATGTATCTTATTTGCTTTTAAGAAAACTTGCATTAGAAAGTCGCGCTATGCCAAGGAACATTATGCCTGCAAATATTAAATACATACATATGTAGGTAATTCCTTAGTCAAATGCGTACATAGGAAAATATTAGAACAGCATACTAACCTCCTGAAAGTAAACGCATGGTATTCATTTCAATTTTTCTGCGATTCTTTGATTGTGATAATATGTAAGCACCCATTGCAATTAAACCAAAGCCGCTAATTAAGCGACAAGCTAAGCAATCCTTTGTGTTATCAACAGATGACATTAAATTTATTTAAAACAGGAGTCTGGAATGCACGTCAATTCATGATGATAATCGTTGCATTGTGTACAAATACAAGTGAGATATCTTAGCAATAGACGTCATCCTGGGCCACAGCTGCGATCATCTGTTTTCTAGAGTTGCTTATTTTGGTCTAAAGTGCGGTTTTTTGACCTGAGTTGCATTAAATAGTCTCTTAAAACTTGGTAGTATTTGCTGTTCAAATGGTAACATATATGCCCAAAAACTTGAAAAATATTAGATGATTGCTTTTTAAAAATGCTATTTATAAAATTTGGTTTTGATTGCGACATTAGAAATATACAGATTATAAAAGTTTTTCACATATGTTTTAAGATTTTAAAGCTTTTAAAATGTACGGTAGAATGCAACAATGTGCTTGAATTTGTTTGCTTCTTCGTCAACTTATTCGTTTGCAGACTAGAAAAATGGCGAACAGCCATCAAAATACTGGTTCAAAATACACACAAATGGGTGCGCGCAGCAAAATTCAGCCCTAATGGTAAGTTCATTTCATCGTGCGGCGACAAGTTAAGTTAAGAATTTGCGATACATTTTCAGGCGAATGTATGCGAACGTTCACCGGGGGAAGAGGTATGGGACGACAGCTGGCATGGCATCCAGACGGCAATCTGGTGGCTTTAGCATTAAGTTGTAACCGCGTTAAGATATTTGACAAAGCTGAAGGCGAGCTAATCAGTGTTGCCAGAACTTTTTGGGCCGACCGGCTAGATTGGCAAAAAAAAAGCGGCTAAAAACGGCTAAAATGTTTTAGTGAAATTTCACATAGACTCTGGCAAAAAACGGCTAAAATGTTTTAGTGAAAATCCACATGCTTTATTTAAATAAATCGCAAGAAACGAAAGACTAGTTAACACCATTAATTTATATCGAGTGTATATTCCTCATCATCAAATGAATCACTATTGTATATATCACCTGAATTCATTAATTTTAAGAGATCGTCATCTACAGTAAAATTATGGCAGCATTTTTCTTCACGTTTTAAACCGTATCTTATATATAAAATAGCGTTTAACGTTTTAACGCACATTGGATTTCTTTGCTTAGTTTTTATTATATTCATTGAACTAAATATTCGCTCTACTTCTGCATTACTTATAGGGAAAACAAGAAAACTAGGTTGCAAAGGTCAGCAAAAGGGTTTTCTCCTAGGGCATTTCGAAATTGATAAACTTCGGCCCAAAATTTTACAGTTGAGTCTAAATTACTCCAGGTATGTAACGTTAACCGTTGCCATTGCATCTCTATGGATGTTTTTTTGTCGGCATTATATTTGTGTTTTTGTTGCTGTAGTTGAACAAATACTTTTGGTTTAATTACTCTTAATGCATTTCCAACCGAAAAAAGTGTTTTTTTTTAGTTTGGCAATATTTGTAGGGAGGCGTTGGCGTATTTCCTTTATTAAAGTGATAATAAAATAGCGACCATTTTCTCGAATTATTTTCTCGGCTTCGTGGTCAAAAGCGTTTGTGCTTACTTTTGTTTTTAAATACTCTTCAAAACTGTGATAAAACTGAGGAAATGGAGCAAGGTATGGTTCCAACGGGGAGCATATAGGATCAAATGTGTCCGCGCTAATAACCACTAGGCAGCATAGATGCGAAAGTAAAACATTGAGTTCATTAAAAATCTTCATTGGGTCTGCATTATTGCTTTCGAAAAACTTGTTTACTTTTTGCACCTGAAAATTAGGCAAATAGTAAAATCGGCTAAAAACGGCTAACTTTTTTTTACAAACCGGCTAACAAATCGGCTGCCGGCTAGATCAAATTTTCTCCGGCTAGTTGCTATCAAAACCGGCTAAATCTAGCCGGAAAACGGCTAAAATGGCAACGCTGGAGCTAATACAGTGCATTCGTCGCCGGAGAATGATGTTGCATTTCACCCAAGTAGAAATTTCTTGGTGACTGGCGGCGATGACGATACAATAAGATTGCTTGATTTATTAGAAGGTCGGCCAATTTATACACGGTAGTAGTGCACTTTAGCGGAACCATATAAAATACATTTTTTCCTGTATTCAACAGTTGCCCGTTTGGAAATCTAATTTGCATACATTTGATACAAGCCAGTTCTCAAAGAGCCCAAATTGATTTTAGTCATGCAACAGCTCCACATAACTCCGCCATAGACACACCAGTTGCTGGAGTACCAAAAAGCTGTGATGACAGTATTTTAATTGATCCACGACAATCGGTGGCATATGGAATGCGTGATGGAAATTTTCTGGTGCTTGATAGCCAATATACTACAAGAGTGAAACGCTGTGATAGTATTTTTT